CAAATTTAAATAAAGCCATTTTGGCCAGGGCTGAAAAGTTGTGGGCCTTTGAGAAAATTGTTTTTCGAAAGGAGATAATTTGAGAAAAAAATATTTCAAAATTTAGGAAATTTTAACATAAATCCATTTTATTTTCAATGCAAATATTGCAGAAATTTTTCAAATTTAAATTAAGCCAATTTTGGCAAGGGCTGAAAAGTAGTGGGCCTTTGAGAAAATTGTTTTTCGAAATGAGATAATTTGAGAAAATACAATATTTTAAAATTTAGGAAATTTTTAACATAAATCTATTTTATTTTCAATGCAAATATTGAGGGAATTTTTCAAATTTAAATTCAGCCAATTTGACCAGGGCTGAAAAGTTGTGGGCCTTTGAGAAAATTGTTTTTAAAAAAAGATAATATGAGAAAAAAATATTTAAAAATTTAGGAAATTTCGACTTAAATCTAATCTATTTTCAATGCAAATATTGAGGGAATTTTTGAAATTTAAATTCAGCCAATTTTGACCAGGGCTGAAAAGTAGTGGGCCTTTGAGAAAATTGTTTTTCGGAAGGAGATAATTTGAGAATAAAATTCAAAATATAGGAAATTTTTAACATAAATCTCTTTCATTTTCAATGCAAATATTGAGGGAATTTTTCAAATTTAAATTAAGCCAATTTTAGCCACGGCTGAAAAGTTGTGTGCCTTTGAGAAAATTGTTTTAAAAAGGAGATTATTTGAGAAAAAAAAATTATTTCAAATTTTAGGAAATTTTTAACATAAATCTATTTTATTTTCAATGCAAATATTGAGGAAATTTTTCAAATTTAAATTAAGCTAATTTTGGCTAGGGCTGGAAAGTTGTGGGCGTTTGAGAAAATTGTTTTTTTGAAAGGAAATAATTTGAAAAAAAAATATATATTTCAAAATTTTGGAAATTTTTAAAATAAATCTAGTTTATTTTCAATGCAAATATTGAGGGAATTTTTCAAATTTAAATTAAGCTTTTTTTGGCCAGGGCTGAAAAGTAGTGGGCCTTTGAGAAAATTGTTTTTTCGAAAGGAGATAATTTGAGAAAAAATTCAAAATTTAGGAAATTTTTATCATAAATCTATTTTATTTTCAATGCAAATATTGAGGAAATTTTTCAAATTTAAATTAAGCCAATTTTGGCCAGGGCTGAAAAGTTGTGGGTCTTTGAGAAAATTGTTTTTTAAAAAGGAGATAATTTGAGAAATTTATTTCAAAATTAAGGAAATTTTTAACATAAATCTATTTCATTTTCAATGCAAATATTGAGGGAATTTTTCAAATTTAAATTAAGCTAATTTTGGCCAAGGCTGAAAAGTAGTGGGCCTATGAGAAAATTGTTTTTCGAAGAGAGATAATTTGAGCAAAAAACAAATATTTCAAAATTTAGGAAATTTTTAACATAAATCTATTTTATTTTCAAAGCAAATATTGAGTAAAGTTTTCAAATTTAAATTAACCCAATTTTGGCCAGAGCTGAAAAGTAATGGGCCTTTGAGAAAATTATTTTTCGAAAGGAGATAATTTGAGAAAAAACAAATTTCAAAATTTAGAAATTTTTAACATAAATCTAGTTTATTTTCAATGCAAATATTGAGGAATTTTTCAAATTTAAATTAAGCTAATTTTGGCCAGGGCTAAAAGTTGTGGGCCTTTGAGAAAATTGTTTTTAGAAAGGAGATAATTTGAGAAAAAATATTTCAAAATTTAGGAAATTATGACTTAAATCTATTTTATTTTCAATGCAAATATTGCAGAAATTTTTCAAATTTAAATTAAGCCAATTTTGGCCAGGGCTGAAAAGTAGTGGGCCTTTGAGAAAATCGTTTTTAAAATGGAGATCATTTAAGAAAATTTTTTAAAAATTTAGGAAATATTTAACATAAATCTATTTTATTTTTTATGCAAATTTTGAGGGAATTTTTCAAATTTAAATCAATCCATTTTTGGCCAGGGCTGAAAAGTCGTGGACCTTTGAGAAAATTGTTTTTAAAAAGGAGATAATTCGAGAAAAATATTTCAAAATTTACGAAATTTTTTAACATAAATCTATTTTATTTACAACGCAAATATTGAGGGAATTTTTCAAATTTAAATTAAGCCAATTTTGGCCAGGGCTGAAAAGTTGTGGGCCTTTGAGAAAATTGTTTTTCGAAAGGAAATAATTTGAGAAAAAAAATGTTTCAAAATTTAGGTAATTATGACTTAAATCTATTTTATTTTCAATGGAAACATTGAGGAAATTTTTCAAATTTAAATTAAGCTAAAATTGGCCAGTGCTGAAAAGTAGTGGGCTTTTGAGAAAATTGTTTTCAGAGCGGAGATAATTTAAACAAAAAAAATCAAAATTTAGGAAATTTCGACATAAATTTATTTTATTTTCAATGCAAATATTGAGGAAATTTTTCAAATTTAAATTAAGCCAATTTCGGCCAGGGCTGAAAAAAAGTGGGCCTTTGAGAAAATTGTTTTCGAAAGGAGATTATTTGAGAAAAAAAAATATTTCAAAATTTAGGTAATTATTACTTAAATCTAGTTTATTTGCAATGCAAATATTGAAGAAATTTTTCAAATTTAAATTAAGCTAATTTTGGCCAGGGCTGAAAAGTTGTGGGCTTTTGGGAGAATTGTTTTTCGAAAGGAGATTATTTGAGGGAAAAAAATATTTAAAAATTTAGGAAATTTTTAACATAAATCTATTTTATTTTTAATGCAAATTTTGAGAGAATTTTTCAAATTTAAATTAAGCCAATTTTGGCCAGGGCTGAAAAGAGAAAATTGTTTTTCGAAAGAAGATAATTTGAGAAAAATATTTTAAAATTTAGGAAATGTTGACATAATTCTATTTTATTTCCAATGCAAATATTGAGGAAATTTTTAAAATTTAAATTAAATTAATTTTGGCCAGGGCTGAAAAGTTGTGGGCCTTTGAGAAAATTGTTTTTCGAAAGGAGATAATTTGAGAAAAAATATTTCAAAATTTTGGAAATTTTTAACATAAATCTATTTTATTTACAATGCCAATATTGAGGGAATTTTTCAAATTTAAATTAAGCCAATTTTGGCCAGGGCTGAAAAGTAGTGGGCCTTTGAGAAAATTGTTTTCGAAATTTGAGAAAAAAAAATATTTCAACATTTAGGAAATTTTTAACATAAATCTAGTTTATTTTCAATTCAAATATTGAGGAAATTTTTCAAATTTAAATTAAGCTAATTTTGGCCAGGGCTGAAAAGTTGTGGGCCTTTGAGAATATTTTTTTAATAAAATTTCTAATTATCTAAAACCATAATTCATACAACAATTCGCCTTCCGACAGGGATCCCTAGGAAATTTTTAAAATTTTAATAAATCGAGTACTGGCCAGGACTGAAAAGTTTCGGGCTTAGGGAAAAAAAAAACATTTTTATACCCTCCACCATAGTATGGAGGGTATATTAAGTTGGTCATTCCGTTTGTAACACCTCGAAATATACATTTTAGACCCCACAAAGTGCATATATTTTTGATTAGCATAAAATTCTTTGTCGATTTAGCGATGTCCGTCCGTCTATCCGTCTGTGGAAATCACTCTAGCTTCCGAACGAATTGAAGTAGATTGATAAAATTTTACTCAAATTTATATAATATCTGCAGGACTATTGGTATTGAAAATAGGCCATGTAGTTGCACGTTTTGGTATAGCCCCCATATAACGGTACCTCCCGATATTCGGTATTTTGATGATTTTAGTGACATTATTTACCGGAATTGTTTCAAATTTTGTATTTGAAGTTCGTAATGGATACTACAGTCTAAGACAAAAAATTGTCTTTGCAGGTCCTTCGTATAGTCTCCATATAACAGTATCTCCCGATATTCAGTATTTTGATGATTTTAGCGACATTATTCACAGGAATTGTTTCAAATTTTGTATTTGAAGTTCGAAATGAATGCTACAGCCTATGAAAGAAAATTGTCTGTGCAGGTCCATGTCTTCGTATAGCCCCCATATAACGGTACCTCCCAATATTCGGTATTTTGATGATTTTAGCGACATTTTTCACCGGAATTATTTCAAATTTATTATTTGATGTTTGTAATGGATATTACAGGCTACGCCAGAAAATTGTCTGTGCAGGCCCATGTCTTCTTATAGCCCTCATATAACGCCACCTCCCGATATTCGGTATTTTGATGATTTTAGCTAAATTTTTCAACGATTTTTTTAAAGTTTCGCATTTGAATATTGTAATGGCTTATGACCAAAGTTGCCTATGCAGGTCCGCGTCGTCCTTTAGACCTTTAAATAACGGCTACATTCGATATTTTTAATATTTTACCAGAATATTCAGACTTAGGGAAAAATATAATTTTTTTAAACGCTTTTTTGAAATTATTTGATAAAACGATTCAATTTAGAATGCAAATGATGAGAAAAATGTCAAAATTGAAATCAAGCCATTTTTGGCCAGGGCTGAAAAGTACCGGACCATTAAATTAATTTTCAAATTTAAAATTAAATTATTTCTGAGCAGAGCTGAAAAGTACCGTACCTCTAAAAATTATTTTTTCTTTAATATAAACATTGACCAGGGCTGAAAAGTCTCGGACTTATTATTTTTGTTTATTTTTGAAAATTATTTCCTTTTTTCCAAATTTTAAAAGAAAAACAAAATTTAAGAATTTTTTCATGTTAGCTTTAATGCGCAGATACTTGGAAAATTTTTAAAATTCCAATAACATAAACATTAGCCAGGGCTGAAAAGTCTCAGGCTTATTAATATTTTTTTTTTTTTTTTTTTTTTTGGAAAAATTAAAATTCAAATTCGATGTATTAGAAAAAGCTAAAAAGTCCTGAACTCTAGTTCGATAAAAAAAGTAATGTGAAAAAATTTTCTTTTGAAAAAGTTCCTCATTTCAAGTTTTCGTGAAAATGGAATTGAGATCCTGGCCTTTTGAAAATTAAAAAAAAAAATTATATAATATTTTTCTTTTTCTTATTCCAGGTCATGCCTGCCCTGCACACCACCATCAAACCGGCCGAAGAGGGTTGGTCCAAACTCGACGAAGAGGATTTGGTGGAGAAAACCTATACTGCGACATTTCCAGCTTTCAAATTTCCGGATCGAGAACGTCTACACGTCAGCTGTGGCGTTCAACTGTGCAAAGGACGTTGTCCCAATGTAAGTTGTAATGGTATTACATGCATGTTACAATGCGGTCCAATTCCAGCGACATGCACTGCTCTGTGGTTATAAATTATACAACCGGGTGTGTGTGTGTGTGTGTGTGAGAGAGAAAGAGGGAGAGAAACGAAAAAAATTAAAGAAGTGCAATTTTGAAATGAATGAATCCAAGATGATTTTGTAACGAGGCGAATGAAAATGCAAGTTTGGCGATTTCATGTAATCAGCTAAGCGTTAATTAGACCTGAATGAGATTTCAGGTGATTTCTTATTATCGAAATGAAGGCAGTTGGGAGTTAATGTACTAAGCTGGAAGAGGGAGGGGGGGGGGGGGGGGGGGGGGGGTAGAAAGGGAATTTCTTAAGAGCAATGAAATGAGAGAGATTTTTTACTCCACATTCAGAAATTCTCTGAAAAGGAGTTTATGGGAGACAACAAAATGAAAGAGGATATCTCAGAGAAAATTTCGGAACGGGTAGCTTCTGTGGGCGGTATCAATAGAGGAATTTCTTAAGAGAAATAAAATGATAATGATTTTTGAGTTTAAAATTTTCATTTCTCTTTGAAATTTAAGAGAGGATTTCGTAACGGAATTGTAAATAAAAAAAGAAATCTCTCAGAGAATTTTCTTAAGAGAGATGAAATTAAAGAGAGTCTATAACAGCACTACTCAAAGGGCAGAGCGGGAATTTCTTAAGAGCAATGAAATGAGGGAGAATTTTTGCTTCACATTCAGAAATTCTCTGAAAAGGAGTTTAGGGGGGACAACAAAATGAAGGAGAATATCTCAGAGAAAATTTCAGAATGGTTTGCGTCTATGGGAATTTCTTAAGAGAAATAAAATGATAATGATTTTTTAAAGAGTTTAAAATAGTCATTTCTCTTTGAAATTTAAGAGAGTCTTTCGTAACGGAAATTCATTAAAAAAAACTCTCAGAAAATTTTCTTAAAAGAGATGAAATTAAAGAGGGTCTATAACAGAACTACTCAAAACCAAGTGCTAGCACATGAGGTTAAAAAAGAGATTATTTAAGAGAAAACAAACAAATTCAGGGTGAGTTGAAAAAAATGGCAACCAATTTCAGACTGCTGTCATTTCTAAGCCACTCATCCGACAGCCGTTAAAATTATTTCAGTGATAGCTCATTATATTTTTTAAAAGCCTACAAAAGCATTTTGTGAGAATTTTCCAGAAAAAAAGTTATTCGTGATTCGTGGAATTTAAGCGTGATAGAGTGATTCCTTTATATTTGGCTGGAAAACCACAAGTGGCTATGGTTAGAGCCCTCCAGCATTTAAATGTGAATAAATCTTTTGTGTCTCGTACCATTGCTCGTTACCGTGCTGTGATACTGGTAGCGTAGCCGGACGAAGTCAAGGAAGTGGACGGAAGAAAAACAGCGACATCAGCAGAAATGGTTCGAAAAGTAAAGAAACCGCGTTGCAGTTTCCGAAAATGGCTCGTGTGCTGAACATATCGCAATATTCCACTCGGCAAATATTGACAAAATGAGCTCGGGCTAAAGCAATTGAAATTCCAAAAAATGCAAGAACTTACACCGCAACAACAAAAGAAAGAAAATAGACTCAAACAAGTAAATTCGGCCGTTCCGAACTTTGAACACCCTCCACCATTTGGTAAAAAAGTTGGCAATTTTCAAAAAATTAAAATCTCTTAAAAATTCTGTTAAAATCTTAAAAATACCGAATGTAGCCGTATATTAGACAACGAGGTGGACCTGCATAGGCAACATTTGTCATAAGCTATTACAATATTCAAATGCGAAACTTGAAAAGAATTCGGTGAATAAGGTAGCTAAAATCATCAAAATACCGAATATAGGGAGGTACCGTGGGGGTTATAAAACGTGGACCTACACAGACAATTATCTGTCATAGGCTGTAGTACCCATTTCGAACTCCAAATACCAAATTTTAAACAATTCCGGTGAATAATGTCGCTTAAATCATCAAAATACCGAATATCGGGAGGTATCGTTATATGGGGGCTATACGAAGACATGAACCTACATGGCCTATTTTCTGTCTTAGGCTGTAGCATCAATTACGAACTTCAAATACAAAATTTGAAACAATTCCAGTAAATAATGTTGCTAAAATCATCAAAATACCGAATATCGGGAGGTACCATTATATGGGGGCTATACGAAGGCTTGAATCTCCATGGCCCATTTTCTGCCTTAGGCTTTAGTACCCATTTCGAACTTTAAATGCCAAATTTGAAACAATTCCGGTGAATAATGTCGCTAAAAATCGTCAAAATACCGAATATCGGGAGGTACCGTTATATGGGGGCCATAAGATGACATGGACCTACACAGACAATTTTCTGTCTTAGGCTGTAGTACCTATTTCGAACTCCAAATACAAAATTTGAAATAATTCCGGTCAATAATGTCGCTAAAATCATCAAAATACCGAATATCGGGAGGTACCGTTATATGGGGGCTATGCGAAGACGTGGACCCGCACAGACAAATTTCTGTCATAGGCTGTAGTATCCATGACGAACTTCAAATGTGAAATTTGAAACAATTCCGGTAAATAATGTCGCTAAAAATCATCAAAATACCGAATATCGGGAGGTACCGTTCTATGGGTGCTATACGAAGACGTGGACCTACATGGCCCATTTTCAATACCAAAAGTCCTACAGATATAATATGCATTTGAGTAAAATTTTTTCAATCTACTTCAATTCGTTCGGAAGCTAGAGTGATTTCCACAGACGGATAGACGGACGGACATCGCTAAATCGACATAGAATTTTATGCCGATTAAGAATATTTGTGGGGTCTAAAATGCATATTTCGAGGTATTACAAACGGAATGACAAACTTAATATATCCTCCATATTATAGTGGGGGTATAAAGAGCGAAAGAGTTGCTTCGCTTGACCGAAAAGGGGTGAACTGCCGAATTTGGTTTTCGCCGATGAGAAAACATTCGTTGTCCAGCAGTTTGTAAACAAACAAACTGATCGTGTCTGCTTGCCAAAGAGGAGGTCAGCTGAAAATGTGCACTTTCGGTTGGCCACCAGAACTCAAGCGCTCTCTGGTCGCTCTCCGCTCGTATCAATCGACCGTGGCATCAGAATAAGTGCCGAATACTATCGCGAAAATATTCTGGAGGGTGTATTGGACATACCAACAATACTCAGCACCATCGCACTCAGCACGCGCCACCCAAGAATTCTTACAAAATGAGGTTCCTCGCTTCATTTCCACCAAAATCTCCGAATTCCAATCCGTTGGACTATTGTGTCTGAAGTATTTTAGAAAGCAAGGTTGGGGCACTAAAAAATACCAAAGAGTCGATCATCAGCGCTTTGCCGGAAATGGGCCAAAATACCTCAGAGCAATATTCGGGCAGCGTGTGACAATTTCATTGGCCGTTTGAAGGCCATAATTCGTGCCAAAGGTGACCAATTCGAACAAATCTAAACTTGTTCTAAATTTTGATACTATTTCCGACATTTGTTGCTTTCATTTAATAAATTTTGAAAAAAAAAATAAAAATTATGGCATTTGACTTTGTTGCAGTTTACATTTTTAGAGTGAAAAATCATCAAAATGCCGATAAATGGCAACCCTGCATGTCATGCAAAAATTCTCCGTGAGATATTTCCTAAGCACACATAAAATAAATAATTAAGAAATCCTCTCTCAGACGCCAAAATTAAAGAAGTCATGGCGAAAAAGTTTTAAAGATGAGTACACACTATCAGTTACTTGAGTTTATTTGATTTAACGTCAACAGCTTTGACAAGCACCAAAATTAGAGGAGCCACGGCAACATAATTTTAAAGATGAGTACACACTATCAGTTACTTATCTGGATTAAACGTAGCGGTAGTTTTTTTTATTAATTATTTTTATTAAAAGCTTGACAAACTAATGGATCAAAAAAATCGGAAAATCGGGTTTTTTACATTTTTAGAGTGAAAAATCGTCAAAATGCCGATAAATGGCAACCCTGCATGTCATGCAAAAATTGTCCGAGAGATATTTTCTAAGCACACATAAAATAAAGAATTATGGAATCCTCTCTCAGAAGTGCTCTGTTTTGGATAATTTGAAAAACTTTCTCTGACCATTCGGCTCTTTTCCAGGCTATGACATATGACCACCGATGATATCGTCATGGCTCCTTTAATACGACTTTTGCTTCCTGATATTTTGTTCCTCTTCTCTGTAATTTTCAAAATATTTTTCAATTATTTTTTTTTCAATTTCAGGTAAATTGCCGTACCAGCGAAAAATTAATACTAAGCACCGATAAACATTTGGCACGCATTGAAGTTTTTAATTCGCTGGCCGTGACAGCGCCACAAATTGAGGTGGATCGTTTGCGCTACGATAGGCGACACAATATGAGTGGTAAGGAAGTGAAGCGTTATTTTCAAAAAAAAAAAAAATAATAATTTTTACCTTTTGGCTTTCTTTTCTAATATCCCTTTACTTTTTCCTTTCTTGTTTTGCCTTTAGCAGAAGAATATCCACCCTATGTCCGGCCTCTGATCAACGATGGCACCCTGTGTTTATCCGTCTCGAAATTGGCCATGTCCTTTTGTGTATTGGGTTTGATATTTTTGATAGCTGTCATTGTGGCCATAACGTCATTGATACGTTCCCGCCGACGTATTGCAGCCATACACAATTGTGGCAGCCTATCGAATAATAGCAGCCGACTGCATCGGGCCGAGGTGTGTACATCGATGTTTAGTTCAAGGTAAGGATTTTGACAAAAAGACTGGAAAAAAAAAACTGATTTCTAATATTCTCCCTCTCTTCTTACTTTGCAGCAGTGAATCAGCCCAATCCGCTAGATTTGGTACAAAATTCTTTATGCCTTATTATCCGAATACACTGCCGTATGGTAGAGTATATTAATTAGTTTAAATTAGCACTTAAGTTAGTTGAGACGCGAGAAATGTGTGTGGGAATTCCGAGAATCCCCCTCATATCCCAATCCCAATTAGTTTGTAGCTACTGCATTTATAATGTAGTCTAAATATATGTGTGTGTGTAAAAGAAAATGCAATGTGTGGCCATCATGCTTTACTCTGAGTCCAGAGCATTGCCATCCTCAGTCAAATCAAGTGATTTTACAACACAGAGTTGCCATTTGCAACTGCATCCTTTTATGATGGCGGCAATGTTGCAAGGCAAAGTAAAGCATGTTTACATTAAAATCAATGTTTTTGTGATACCTAAGAACAAATTTAATGTAAATACGGCCTCATATTGCATTTCCAATTTGTAGAAGTGGAAGGTCAAGGCAAACGACAGGTAATTTCAAAATGGATAAAAGTTGAAAAAAAAACATTGAAGCTTTTTTCCGTAGAAATTTTATTTCTAACAATAAAATTCATTTATTTGAAAATATTGAATTTTTACGATTTAAGCACGGTAAAGCTAGCATTATAAAAAATATAAAAATATATATTCAGGGCTGTCATAGAAACCAATTTTATCACTATTGGTTTTAAAAACGATAAGAAAAAATGCTTTGGTGTCATGAAAATCAATGTTATCGGTTTTATTTTCGAATTAGAATTTTATCGGTTTTGGTTGTCATAGAAGCCAATGTTATTGGTTTTGTTATTGGAAATAAACCAAGCTGCTTAGAGCTGTCACTTTTCATTTGCTTTGGATTTTTAAACAATTTTTAAAGGATATTCAAAGGACTAAAAATGTGGATTTTTTAAACAATTTTTAAACGACTAGAAACCTGGATTTTTTTAAAGAATTTTTAAAGGACATTTAAAGGACTATAAACATGGATTCTTTAAAGATTTTTTAAAGGACTATAAACGTGGATTTTTTAAAGATTTTTAAAGGACTATAAACGTGGATTTTTTAAAGATTTTTTAAAGGACTATAAACGTGGATTTTTTAAAGATTTTTAAAGGATATTTAAAGGACCATTAACGTGGATTTTTAAGGATTTTTTAAAGAATTTTTAAAGGACCATAAACCATAAATCTGCAAAGCAGCTTTATGAGAAAGTTCACAATAAAAAATTGTATTTACGCTATCTCCGGCAACTCCAGTGGGTTGCTGAAACCTCTAAGAGCTTTTCTTGCAAAAACTACCACTGCTGATGCCATCTTACTTTTTTTATAGCGACTTATTTCTTTTTTTATTTACTTTACTTTTACTGATATTTCAATGACAAATAAACAAACAACACACGTAAGCAACAACAGCTGTTTCGAACATAGGTTTTATTTACATTCGAAATTGACAAAACCAACTTGGATTCATGACACCAAATGAAACCAATATTGGTTTACAAAAACGACAATAAGCTAAACCAACATGGTTTCTGTGACAGCCCTGATTATATTCTGTTTTCGACGAAGATTTTTCTGACATAAGATATCCTTGATTTAATTGTACAATGAATTTAACTTTAACGGAACAAAGCAAGCCCCCATTATGTTTTTTTCCTAAAAATGAAGATCATGGATGACAACAACTGTTTTTCTTGACAGCTGACATCTAGTAAACCTGGGAAAGTGATTACCAAGTCGTTATATTGACCAACTATTTCAATATTTTTAAGTTAACAAAAATTTTGGCCTCAGTATTTTTTTATTAATTTTATCTATTTATTTTTATGGCCTAGTAGTAATTATACTCTTTCAAAAAAGGAGGTGCGAAGTTAGAGAGACAGCTAAGATTCCGACAAATTTCTTCTTTATTTAATTTATCTCCAAAACAAAGCAATTTCAGCAGCTTTGGCAAACGCCAAAATTAAAGGAGCCACGGTAACAACATTTTAAAGATGAATACACACCATGGCAGAAGAATACAGGTAGATGCATTAACGCATGGGAGCATTGATATGTCAAAAAATTTAAATGTTTTTTTCAAACATAAGTAGATTTTTATATGTTTTCTTATACGACGCCATTCGGAGGTTATTATAATTCACATTTTTCAACAATTTTTACAAATTTACATAATTTTTCATTCAGCATTTTCAATTCCAAAATTGGTTTGACAGCTCATTGTCCCAGCAGCTGTGTCGATGCGTCTACCTATATTCCTCTACCATGGTACACACTATCATTTACTTGAATTAGGAGCCACGGCGACATAAGATGAGTACACACTATCAGTTATTTGAATTTATTTGATTTAACTTCACCAGCTTTGGCAAACGCCAAATTTGAAGGAGCCCCGGCGACATAATTTTAAAGATGAGTACACACTATCTGTTACTTGATTTAGGAGCCACGGCGACATAAGATGAGTACACACTATAAGTTATTTGAATTTATTCAGATTAAACGTCACCAGCTTTGGCAAGCGCCTAATTTGAAATAGTCACGGCGAAATAATTTTAATCAGTTATTTGAATTTGTTTGATTTAATTTCACCCTCTTTGGCAAGTGCCAAAATTGAAGGAGCCACGGCGACATAATTTTAGAGATGAGTACACACTATCTGTTACTCGAATTTATTTGATTTAAATTCACCAGCTTTGGCAAGCGTCAAAATTAAAGGAGCCACGACGACATAATCTTAGAGATGAGTACACACTATCAGTTACTTTAATTTATTTGGATTAAACTTTAACAGCTTTGGCAAACGCCAAAATTAAAGGTGCCACGGCGACATAATTTTAAAGATGAGTACACACAATCAGTTATTTGAATTTATTTAAATTAAATTTCTCCAGCTTTGGCAAACGCCAAAATAAAAGGAGCCATGGTAACATAGTTTTAAAGATGAGTAAACACTATGAATTACTTCAATTTATTTGAATTTAACTTCACCTGCTTTGGCAAACGCCAAAATTAAGGGATCCACGGCGACATAATTTTAAAGATGTGTACACACTATCAGTTACTTGATTGTGTTTGACTTGACTTAACCAGCTTTGGCAAACGCCGAAATTAAAGGAGCCATGGCGACATAATTTTAAAGATGAGTTCACACTATCAGTTACTTGAATTTATTTGATTTAATTTCACCAGCTTTGGCAAACGCCAAAATTAAAAGAGCCATGGCGAAATAGTTTTAAAGATGAGTACACACTATCAGTTACTTATATTTATTTGATTTAACTTCGCCAGCTTTGGCAAACGCCAAAATTAAAAGAGCCATGGCGAAATAGTTTTAAAGATGAGTACACACTATCAGTTACTTATCTGAATTAAACGTAGCGGTAATATTTTTATTAATTATTTTTATTAAAAGCTTGACAAAATAATGGATCAAAAAAATCGGAAAAACTGAAATATAACAACTGATCTGCTTATTTTTTCAAAATTAAAAAAAATGTGCCTTTCAGATAAAAAAAAATATGGTAACTCATCAAACATTTGATCATCCTTAAAATTCATAGAAACATTAAAATATTTGCTCAGAACTAATATTTTCGTTACAAATTCAGATTTGTCTGTCATGACAATGGAGGTAGTCGCACCAACACAGCTACAATGAACTGTCAAAGCCATTTTTGAAATACAACATTTTAAATATAAAACTATTTAAATTAAATAAAATTGTTGAAAAATACATATCCTAATAGGCTCCGTAGGACAGAGTACAAGAAAATAGTTGAATTTTTTTTTTTTTAAGAAATTTCCCAATGATCATAGGTTGTACTCTACTTAAGTTTGACTCTGATATTTTCTAATTGTCAAAAGGCCACAAGCTATAGATCATCATAGAATAGTATTACGGTAAAACGATTTAAATGACTAAAATCTTCATTGATACTCCCATATTTTTATAGCGTAAATCTCTTTCGCAGCTCCTTATATAATTCTATTTACACTTCCTTTACTTACGTATATTTTATGTGTGTGTTTTTTAAGACTGATTTTTATATATTTACATTATTTTTTTATGTTTTACTCAACTCCTTATGTGTCTACACAATTTTCTCCCTCACAAACCCCTGGAAAGGATTTCGAAAACCATTTTAGTTCTTGATATTTATAAAATGTTTTCGATACTCTTTCAGATCTCCCACAAACCACTACTCTATACGAACATAATTATATATGTCTTATTTTTAGAAGAAGAAAAAAAAAGATACTATATTCTCACTAAAGAACGAAACCTTAAAGGTCCCTCTAGAAATTAAGTATTTCTCTTTAGAAGATAAACCACAAAACATGAGCTTAAAGCTCCAACGATTATTTTTTTAAGGATAAACAAACAAAAAATGAAGTATTGGTGTTGGTTTTGTTTAAGTTTTAAGAAAAGTAATTAATTTTTATAATTTATTTAATGAAATAAAAACGATTTCAATTCTAAAAATAAAATTAATTTTATTAAACCTCCCAACAAGGTAAGTATGGTGTAAACGCCACAAATCAGAAAGGTTGTTAATTACAATGTTGTATTTTATAGCGCGTTTATACAATTGAAGATAAATCCACCGGGTTTATAAGATCAATTGGGTTTTTTTTAAATTTTGAAGGTTGGATGTTGTTAATTAAATGTTATGAAAAAAGTATATTTCATATGTCAACATGAGATTACCTTGTATAATTTTAGCATTAGTAGTTATGATAACTTGTATTTTTAAAAAATTAAGAAATTTTGAAAAAAAAATTTCAATCAAAGATTTGAAAGCCAAAAAAATCGGACGCATCCGTTGCCGACAAAAACCAGCAAATCTCTAACATATTTTGGCAATTGGAGGGTATTTCAATTTGCAACTAGTTTAGATGTTCATTTAAGTGAATTGTCAAAAGAAATATCATTGAAGTTCGCATAAATCAAAGGCCAGGAAATTTCCTACACTTTATGGCAATTTGAGGGCATTTCAATCTGCAACTAGTTTAGTTGCTCATTTCAGTGAATTGTAAAATGAAATATCATTGAACTTAACATAAATCAAAGACCAGTAAATTTCCTAAACATTTGTCAATGGAAGGGTATTTTAATTTGCAACTAGTTTTGTTGCTCATTTCAGTGAATTGTAAAATGAACGTAAAATGAAGTATCATTGAACTTCACATAAATCAGTGATGCGTTTTTTTTTGCCTGTGTGGCAAGCATGGTAGAAGAATATAGGTAGACGCGTCGACAAAGCTGCTGGGTCAATGAACTGTCAAACCAATTTTGGAATTGAAAATGTTGAATGAAAAATTATTTATATTTGTAAAAATTGTTGAAAAACGCGAAATATATTAGCCTCCGAACGTCGTAGTATAAGAAAACATATAAAAATCTTTTTATATTTGAAAAAAAATTTAAATTTTTTTGACATATCAATGCTCCCAAGCGTTGATGCATCTACCTGTATTTTTCTGTCATGGTGGCAGTAATATAACATATTGGTCAATCTCTCCTGGTCTATGGTCTCAATTCTTCTCTATAAAAATGTGAAATGAAAACTTTTATACA